CATCGAGGTGTGTTTCTCATTTTGGTGTTGATAATCCTTGAAATTGCCTTGCCTTGTTGTTTATTATTATGTGTTCAAGTGTGAGGTATGGGACAAAAAATCTTTACTTCAGTGGTGAGAGTATGAAAGGGGATACTGATAGATCTCACATCTGATGCTATGGGTTGCATGTGTTGGTTAAGTGCAACTGCTCTTTACATGTCAATTGCACTTGCCTGCTTCTGTCAAATTGATTTTGCTGGTTTTAATTCTGCAGGTCACTCATTATCTTGGTGGGGAAAATTATGTTTTCTGGGGTGGTAGAGAGGGCTATCAAACCCTTGTGAACACTGATATGGAAAGAGAGCTGAATCATTTGGTAATTTCTTTGTCGGCCTTTTTGTGGAGCAACTGCTAAAACTTATATTTCTGTACAACGTCTTCATTTTCATCTCTTGCTATTTTGTCTATTAGTTTTTATCAAACAGATCCAGCTAAACATTACCACAGACTAAAGAATTTATTCTCTTTGTGGTTATGCAACCTAGTACATTGTTTCATGCCTGTAACATTTGTTATCTACTAGCTAAGTATAACAATTAGTTGGATCTCTTCGCAGGCAAGGTTTCTTGAAGCTGCTGTTGCCTACAAGAAGAAGATTGGTTTCAATGGTATTTTTCTCCATTCACTTTGTTGAGTATATATTTTAATTTGATTGATTTATGAGATGATGTGCTAAGGACTAGTGGTTTTGAAGTAGAAACTGTGTTTTAGCATTCCTATGTGCTTATTATCTCTTTGCCTTGACTTACCTAATTCTTTTTCATTATTCACAGGGACCTTTCTCATTGAGCCTAAGCCTCAAGAGCCTACAAAACACCAGTGCGTTTATGTTTTAATGTTTGATTATGCATTTTAGTCCATAATTTTGAGCATATTCATTTGTTTTGATGGATGGCAGGTACGATTGGGATGCTGCAACATCAGCTAATTTCTTGCGCAAATATGGCCTCATAGGTGAGTTTTACGCTCTTGTAGCCCCTATTTTACTAGTAAATGTGCGTATTATTTCTCTTGGAGTGAGTGTTGAAAGTCAAAAGTCCATTGCATCATCATGCTCCAATCTTGATTTGTCATTGTTTCTGGTATCTTTTGAGATATCAGTGTTCTGCAATTGTGCTTGCCCGCATAGAAAAACTCTGTAATTGCAGCTAATCGAATCATAAATAAGCATCATGTATACCCTTGAGGACAGTGGAAGAGATAACTTTGCTTTATGATGGTTCTTGTCTTGATATTCGCTGCTTGTACCACCTTATGCAGATGAATTCAAACTGAATATTGAATGCAACCATGCCACATTATCTGGTCACAGGTTTGAAAATTTCCTGATTTCGACATTCTAGTTGAAATCTCCACTTTAGCTGGCTTTTCAGTTGATTTGAATTCCGAAGCGAACAAACGCAATGAGTTGTTTTTACATGCTCCTGTTTGTGTTGCAGCTGTCATCATGAACTTGAAACTGCTAGAATAAATGGTTTGCTGGGAAATATTGATGCAAACAGTGGTGACCCTCAAACTGGTACATGAAGTTCATGATATCGACTTGTTCTTTTGGTCATGGCAGAGACTTGTTTATCCTGTGAAAATAATTTTTTTGCTATAGGTTGGGACACAGATCAATTTCTAATGGATATCCAGGAAGCAACCTTGGTTATGCTCAGTGTTATTAGAAATGTATGAACAGGATAGTCTATCTCTTGAACATATTAAAATTGATGGCAAATGTTAAATGATCACTGTTTAACGCTTTACTGTTGATTACAGGGAGGATTAGCACCAGGAGGGTTCAATTTTGATGCCAAATTGTTAGTTTCTTCTCCCACTTTGTTGTTTTAGTCTCATTTCTTTTGCCAATGCATATCCTGTTAATTACCATGGATTTATTTGTAATTTTTGTCCAGTATGTTTAGATGGAATGGGTGCAACTCGGTTTAGTAGTGCTTTGAAAAAAAAATTGTAGTCAGTGCATAAGTGGGAGACAACTCAAATTTGTAAACTTCTTTGCACAATTATACGAACGATTTTGATATGGTGGAATTGAAAGTAAACCCACGCCATTATGGAAAAATGCAGAATATATTTGGCCTCTCTGGCCTTTATTTCCGTGGATGAACCTTGCCTTGCAATGAAGATTCTATTTAGAATTTTGCTTCACAATTTTATTCTTCGCTATTTATCAGGCGAAGGGAGAGCACAGATGTTGAGGATTTGTTCATTGGCCACATTGCTGGAATGGATACTCTTGCACGTGGTCTTCGAAATGCTGCAAAGCTGATTGAGGTGATGTTTCTTACTGGATAATTACTTTTTTACTTTCACCTCTCCCTTTCTAAAGATGCTTAAACTTTTTAAGCAAACAATGACGTTTGTTTTGGGGCATTGATCCTGAAAACAGGATGGCTCTTTGGATGAAATTATTCGCAAGAGATATCAAAGTTTTGATACAGAACTGGGAGCCCAGATCGAGGTGACATCTTTGGATTAAGTTTTTAACTGATGCTTTGACTAGTCATCACTTTGCTTCCTTTTATCTGAAATGAATTACTGATAATGTGTCATAACAGGCCGGGAAGGCGGATTTCGAACTGCTTGAGAAGAAAGCCAAGGAGTGGGGAGAACCCAAAGTTCCTTCTGCCAAGCAGGTAAGTCTTGACAAGAACAGTTCTTATAACGACTGTTAGTGCATTTTGCTGTTTCACTGACTGAATTTCTTGTAAATTGCTCTAGGAACTTGCGGAGATGATTCTCCAGGCTGCATTATAGAAGAGAGTCGTTCAACTAAAAACCACCTTTACTCAAAAATTCTGTCCCACCTCCGGAGTTCGTCCTCCATGCCCCTTGTTCTAGAGAATAATCCCTGGTGCCTTTTAGCAGCAGTACCGGGTTGTAGTGCCGAAGAGTCGATGACACATCTCAGCATTATCTTTTATATTTTTCCTTGTGTAGTTAGCTAAAGACTACTATTTAGCTATGTTTTCAGAACCGGACCGGATAGCGACTCGGCCGAGGTCAGGGGTCAGGGGTCAATGGGTTCGACCGGGGGTCGATAGGGGTCGAACCGGATGACGTCATAAATAAAAATTATTTTAAAATTAAAATGTTATATATATAATATCTAATAATATATTGATATTAATAAAGGCATATTCATATATATTTGATGTTTCAAATATATTTAACAAGAAAATACAAAGAAATTAGAACAATCAAGTAGCAATTTATATTATTTAATAAATATTAACAAGTTTAGAATTAAAATTATGAATTTAATTGAAAAATAACATCAAATTTTAGGACAATATTTATAAAGTATCAAATATTTGAGGTATATCAATAAGTTTTAACAATTTAGGGGGTCAAAACATAATATTAAAAAGTTTGAATTTTTTTTTTAAAAAAATACTGTTGAACCGGAAAAACCGGTTTTTTCCCGGTCAAACCCGGTCAAACCCGGTTTTTGACCGGCTTTGACCGGGTTTTAAATTTCCGGTTTTCTAATGTGACTCGGACCGGCTACCTGGCCGGTTCCCGGTTCAACCGGTTCGACCGCCCGGTCCGGTCCGAGTTTGAAAACAGAGCTATTTAGTCGATAATTGATGACATAGCTCTCTGTGATCTGAACCCCCATCTCTCTCTCTCTCTCTCTCTCTCTCTAGTATTGGTGAAAGCCAATGCATGTTTGAATTCAACTTGCCTCCTAATTTTTTGATCCAAACAGCTTTCTAGATACCATTAGTCCCAATGTAGCATTTTGCTACTGCTTCAAGGAAAGTTAAACCTATTAAGCTTCTTCCGTGTTGGCAAGAAATAATCAAAAGACACGGGAGGTACCCTTTAACTGCAAAGCAGTTATGCGAGTTGATTGATGGGCAGTGGAGGTTACAAAAGGAAGCATGTTACTGTAACGTCTTATTCAAAGCAAACTCATGATACAAGTCTGCAGTGACAATCCTTTAAATCCTGAATAGAATGCTACTAATTGAACAAGATAGAGGGAAAAATGCATTTGCAAAGTGGAAGTTGAAAGAGCGAATCTGAGATGCATGGTACGAGTACGCATTAGATGGATGTCAACGAAGCACCAAAGAAATACACAGACAAGGACCTGAAAATAGCAAAAACCCTGAGACCTACCACCACTAAGAATCAGCAATGTGTGATCAGAAGTCCAAAGAAGTTACGGCAAAAATCCACAAAGCAAGAGAAATCAAAAGAGGAGTGCATACGCATCCATAACAAAAGATACAAAACTGCTCTGGAACTAAGAGCTTAGTAAGCCGGAAAAGTATAATTGCCTCTCTGTAATGACAACTTAGGCGTGCAAAGGCAAGCAATTGAATTTCAGAGAGCTGTAATGCACATAGAGTTGCATTGGTCAGGCAAGAAACAAAGAAAACATGTAACGATAAACATCTCATTCAATCCCAACTCGAGAAAAGAGTTTGCACTGACAAACCTTTAAATCCTGAGTAAAACAGCTGTGCGTACTAATTAATTTGGACAGAAAGTTCCACGGAGGAAAAGATGTTTTTACACAAAGAGAAGTTGGGAAGGGCAACCTATGAGATGGGTTATCAATTACATTTACACAACAAACAGGAGTAAAGACGTCAAAAAAGAAGCCAAAGGAAACACATGTAAGGACCTTAAAGTGTAACAATAGCCTGAGATGAACTACTAACTAGAAATCAAAGGTGAGATATCGAAAGTCCAATGAAGTTACATTGAAAATTCACAGAGGAAGAGAAGTTAAAAGAGAAGCCCATAGCTACATGTATCAAAGGACATAGTACTGCACACTGGACGTAATTAGCCTCTCTATAATGTCAGTCAACTGAGATACGTTAAGGCAAGCGATTGAATTATAGAGTGCTAGCTGTGCTGGAATGATATAAGCAATACAGGCATTTCCAAAAAGATCATGTAATGAGAGATCACCCGCATCATGTTAGTCTAGATTAGTCTAGTCTATCCCCTTCGTTTTTCCTCTTCCCCTCTTGGTGTTCAAAATCAAATGTGAGTACAAACTCGTGAGACAGCAGTTGGTCGACACTGGCCCTGTCAGCTGGACTCCGCTGGAGACACAACTCGATGAAATGCCGGAAAGGTGGCCATGCTTCGGGGGGTGCTCGAGGAGGATTCGGCATCCCAGCCATAAAAAATGGCAGGGAAACACCCTTGGTATCCTTCCTCTTGTCATAGTCAATGGGAAATTTCCCCAAATAGAACTCGAGCAGACACATCCCAAGACTCCACACATCCCAATTCTCCACCCCTTCAACAGACAAACGCACCGTATAACTCAAGAGCTCAGGGGCCACGTACCGTTCCGCTTCTACATTTGGCACGGGCTGGCAATCTAGATCAAACAAGAGATCCTTAGGAGCCCCGACATCACCAATCTTAAAAGCCATATCAGCGTCGTCGTAGAATATATTGGAAGGACTGAGAAATTTGAAGACAATGTTCTTCTTCCTCAGGTATTGCAGGCCAAACAAGATGTTATCCGCAATATGGGAAAGTATTTCCATATCATGAGTTTGGAAGCCGCTGAGAGGGGAGGTCATGAGGTCATACAACAAGCGGCTGTAACCTCGCTCTGTTTGAACCCCGTGACATTTGACGATGGATCGATACTCAAGTGTGGGAGCAAGGGCCATGTACTCCCTCACCCTATTTTGGCAGCGCTGGTGGTCATGGATGCGAACAGCTTTCAGCGCGTAAAGTCGGCCGGTGGGTTTGTGTCGGACCCTGTCGACATATCCGATGGAGCCCCAGCCCAAGCGCGTGTCATATTCGTAGTCGGCTAGGTATATGGTTGGCACCCCCGGCGGAGGATCCACCATCGGCAGCCACCAATTGCTTGGTGGAGTCATTTCTCTCTGGCTCTGCCGTTCATCTTCGGCCAAGGTTTTCATCTTCTTCCCCTCGTCCTCGGCCACTTGCATCCTCTTCTTCCTCTCGTCGTCCTCCGCCTTTTGTTTCGTCTCCGCCTCCGTCCCTGTCTCGCTCTTCTTCTCCTCCTCCTCCTCTGCCGCTTGCCTCTTTTTTGGCTCCTCGGCCGCTGTCAGCCCCTCAATCTCCTCAGTGGACGACGCCTAGCGCAGCAATCGAATTGGAAACCAGAATGTAGGTTAATTGCACATAAAATAAATTGAACGATAGCGGTTCCCGCCACTTAATGCAGGATCGTATGGCATTGAGACACGAAACCAGCTCAATCTCCACACCTTATTTATTAGAGGCTTTGAATGATTATTTATTTGTTAAAGGCTAAAAGCGGGCATGAGAAGTCGCTTGGGCCCTTTAGAATTTCGATAAAAGTTCAAACACTTTCTTAGTGTTTAGGGGTGCTTCCGTAAAAATATACTACCAACGATTTTGCATTTGATTTGCCCATGCTTAGTTACTTTTCTAACCTTTAACCTCTTGCATTTCATTTTTTTTTTTCCTTTTGCATTTAATTACGCAGCAAAGTATCCAAAAATTCATCAAAACATAACAATTAAAGACAATTATAATTCCAATCGATATTTAATGACGGAAGCAAAGCTTACAAATCACCTAATTAACCACATCAAATGCTAATTAGCTTGGTTGAGTGAGACTTGTCAACACCGTCTCTGTTAAGCTCTTCAAGTAATTAGAGGTTCAACTCTTATCTTCAACTTGAATCACTGAGCGTGCAAATCCCTGTCGTAGTATGGTTAGCATTCAACTGCAATTTAATTTTTGTTTCTATCTTCACCAGTGAAAGTGGAACATACTTGCACTTTGCACATAATTCCGCGACTAATCCCACTTGATCAAAAAGTTCATCAATATTCACCATCCGCTATTAAGGCCATCGCATTCATGACAATCATCCGCACAAATCTTGACATTATACCTTTCTTTTTGCAAATACTTTTCCCTACAAAAATTTTCAAAACATTCATCCACCCCACAAATATATTTTCACACACATTTTTATTCAAATCAATACTTTCACGAACAAATTCTTCCTCACCAATCATCCCAAATAAAGTATGCAAATTAAAAAATTTTCAAAGAGCCATATCAAAATTTTCAAAAACCTCTTCCATGTCAATTTTGAATAGGAAACAACTGGATTTGACGTGAGATCCTGCAGTGGAAACATCCCTTGTATATAGGGCAGCAGAAAGGAAACAAAAACTACTTTAGGTTCGACATCGCATTTCTACATGAGCATTCGGGGACTCCACATTTCTCGGCTTGTCTCTGAAAAGTAGCACAGCTGCAACTTAGTCAAATAAGCAGCATCCAAAACCCTGAGTAGGATGCTGTAGTTCAAGTGTGCTATCAAAATTCCCGAGGTCCTTTCATCACTAAGATTTGGGTTACAGACTACTGCGGTTGCAGCACATGAAATTGTATTGGTATCACCACTCCCTTGCCCTTGCCCTTGCCGTAGTCCATTCCAGCGTGGCTGTAGCATACCAGCTCTGATTTCTAGACTGGTAGCCTTTGAATGGCACTACTGTTTTCTTCCCATACGCAAAGAAATTAAGAAAATGGAAAATCAACCCACCATTTGGCTAGCCTACAATAGAACTGCACACTGCTACATTTGATGTATGAATGTGATAATCAATGGCCAATGAAGAGAATCACAAGAAATACTTAACATTTTCCCAAAAAGTGACTACTATACAAATTACACCCTTACGGCATTCACAGTAGATTACACTTATGCCATTTCACTATCCCTTCTATTATTATACACTCATTCACAATGAATTACACTCCACAGAGTATAATAACATGGATCCACAATCATATCAAATATTTAGTTTAATAATGCATAACTTATATCTCGTAAATAAATAAATTTATTATTTTAAAATTGATTATTTTTAAAACTACTAAAATTCTCATCGATAATGACAAAATACTGAAATTTTAAAAATTATGTAAAGAGGTTGAAGACAATGAATAAGGAAATAGAAGAAATAAAGTAGGAGATTGTGAGGTGAAATAAAAAAAAAAGAGTCCTGTGTATTTATAGTGAGAAAACTAAAATGTCCGTTGTCAATGTTTGTTGTAAAATGGCCAGAAAATGACCGTTGTAAATGGCTAGAAAATGCCTGTTGGAAAAAAAAAAAAAAAAACAGAATTGAACGTTGTTGAGTAGATCTTTTCCCTTGTTATCATCATAGCCGAGTCCCACTTTTAGCTCTATTACATATTTACATGGTGCAAAACTAATGATGCCTGTAAGGGAGTGAGGCACGGACGGTTGAATGTTTTGTAACATTTTTTGAACGTTTTGTAATTTTATGTAAATTTCTTGTACATTTTTATAACAAAGATGTGATATTTTATTACTGTTTATGTGAGTCCCATCTGTAATAATTATATCTCCGTTATTGAATTTTGCAAGTAGATCAGATAGAGTTACACCTTATTCAGAAAATATTACATCATTCACAACGATTATTATTGACAATCATTAGTGCCCTTGATCCATGCGGATAATATTTATTACACAGCTCCAGTAGGTGTCCGTAATCATAGGGTGTAGCGGGGGTATAATAACCCCTCATTGTAGTTGCTCTCAGAGGACCTCTAGGCCTCTGGCGTAGGATGTTGATCAACGATCATCCTCTTGAAAATGTGCAAATACTAAATCAAACAGAAACCAGTAAATTTACAAGCAAACCCGTCCCACCATTTTTTTTTGGTCCCACCACGTTAGTAATTGAACCAGCATAGGATGATTCAAAACATACATCCACGAAGAAAAAATCTTTTCTTATTACGAAAAAAAAACATTACAAGATTACAACTTTATTTCCACATTCAACTCTTGTAATACCATGTTATGTTATGTTATGTTAATTAAAGAGAGACCAATTATACATAAATAAAATAATATGTTGTGTTAATATTATTTTGTGTTTGATATAGTACCATGTTGATATTTGAATTAGTTGAATTTTTGGACCCCATTACTAAAGTAAAATAACTATGAAAAAAGATTAATTAATTAGAACAAAAGCAAGAAATACAAAAGAATTGACTACAAATACTGAAAATTTTTAAATATTATGTCATTGCCCTTAAATATTTTAAAATATATTTATGAGCTTTTCTTACCATTTTGATTGTATGCACATGGCACAAACAAAAACGTACTTACCCAACAATTAAAGTGGTTTGAGATATATATAATAGTTATTTAAAATATCAAATTGACATCTTATAGTTAACAATAAAGGAGGAGGAATTCAGAAATTTCTAACAAATCTTTACCTAGTAATATTTCAAAGATCTACAAAAAAATTAATTAGTGAATATCAATGTGCTCTATGCTTTAAGATGAGTTAAAAATATATCTATTACTAAATATTGTGTAAGACTTAATATATGTATTTTTTTGTGAATAACTTTTATACTAAATATGTGTATCACCATGACCATGACAATTCTACTATGATGTCTATAAAGCAAGCTCCTAGCTAGGGAACTAGATGACTCCACAATCAGTGTTAAAGTAAGTAGTATCAACAAAAGACTAACTTGTGAAAACAACTAATACTAATCCCAAAGAAGACTCTTCTCAAAAGAACAATTACCGGACAATAGCACAGGGGACTAACTTACAAAGACTGGCTTGTCAATAAAACAACCACCGGAAAAGAGCCACATCTTAATGAAACATATGCAAGAAATTGTGACTCAGTAGTTCATCAACAGATGCTCTGGAGTTTACATCCCTAATCAAACATCGCTGAACAAAATCCCAGAACTGTGAGGTAGATTGGACAACTCAGGAACAACAAAGTCATTAATAATCTCGTTGTAAATCTGAAACTTATCAATGCGGGGAAAAGAGAAATGTCCCATATAAATTTCCAGCAATAAGATCCCCAAACTCCAAACATCACTTCTGTCTGTCGGTCGGTTTTTCGCATTTGATGTTGCAACATTTCGGGACTACAGTATTGAATAGTGCCGAGGACTGTCAAAATGTTTCTGACAGTTGCGCTGATTTCCTTTAAGATTTCAAAAACATAGGTCCATTTGAATTAGCTTTTTTTTGGGGGTGTTTTCTAAAAATTTTATTGTAGCGATGTATTTGAAAAACTGTTACTTATTTTGAAGGTGCTTTTAAGTAATATATGTTGGGGTATTTTTAGAATTTAAAAATTTTATGGTAATTTTAAAAAATGAAAAATAACATTACTGACCACTGGCATCCACCGCTACCACCCACCACCAACACCGCTTTCTTCCTCCTTTTCCCTTTTCTTCTTCTTCCTCTTCTCATCCCCTCTCTGATCACAACTAGAGGGAAGCGACCAAATCTAATCATGACTATTCGATTACAACTAGAGGGAGATCGCAACTAGAGAGTCACAATCGGAGTTCCTTGAGGTCGTGACCAGAGAGAACTATAGAGAGGGGAGGGGAAGGGGGTTTCGGCGGGAAAGGATAGAAGAGAAGAGAGAGGAAGGAAGAAATGAGCAAGGAGGAGGAAAGGAGGGGAGTAAGAATAAGAAGGCAGAAGAAAGGGGGGAAACAGTGAGAGGAGGAGGGAGGGAGTGATGCCCGTGGTAGGTGATGGCTGTAGGTGCCGATGGTAGGTGGTGTTGGTGGTGGGTGGTAAAAGAGTGAAAAAAGAAAGATGGTATAATTTTATTTATTTATTTATTTTTAAATGTATTTGAAAGTGTGTATGTTTTTTACAGGTTTGTTTGGATAGTGTATTATTTGAAATATTATTTGGAATAATTACTGTAGCACTTTTTGTGATATGATGTATGTGAGATAAAAAGGTGATTGGGAATATAAAAAGGTAGGTTGGAAAATATGTTTGTGATGCAAGCAAAACATTATTTGAAATAATTTTGGAAAATATTGTTTTTAGACTTGTATTTGGAGTGTTACTGTAGACTCCAAATACAAAAACCGTTTTTGAGAAACAAAAGAGTTTAGATGCCTCTCTTAAAACTAATTAGCTTGTAACAAGTCAACTCAATTCAAAATAAAAAAAAGTAAAAATTTATTTTAAAAAGAAAGAAGACATTGTGGTCCAAAAATGCCCCCCGTATGTTACATTAGGTAGTTAATATGTTATGTAAAACTATATTTTGTCATTTTAACAAAGCCAAAAGTGAGGGGTTGTAGGTACAAGTGCTAGCAAATGCAACATATCATTATATCAATTTCGGGCTTGTGCAACTATGTGCAATAGACTTCAATTAACACTCATATAGCAGCGGCAACAAACAATTAAAGAGTATACATATTAAATGGCATGCCCTGCTTTCAAATTTATGCATGATCGAACCTCCTGTTTTCACTTGTAGGCCATTATTTGGTATGATCAAGAAAAAATTGAGAATCTACAACTAAATAACATAATTCCTAAATTTGGACATCAGAAAAAAAAAATCTTTCCTCTTGCTTTAATTAAGATGCTCATGCTCAGAAATTTGTTGACAAGAATTAGAGAGCAATTTTCCTCGTCTTGAAGTGCACTCAAACCCTTAGCTACACAATAACTGCAAGTTCAAACTCTATTTCTCTTCGAAAAAAAAAATAATGTCAATTTCTCGATCTCTCAAGTATGATTTCTTTAACTTTTGGGTTGGACATATCAATCAGAAAAGGACACTTTTCTCATGGCAAATTAGATTTTTTAGTTCTAAATTGTGATTATATCTATTAATTCGTTTAACTAGTGATTTAGTTGATTGAGTTCACGCAATTGTCAAATGCCTTGTAAGATTTGAGGCTAATTCAATCATTTTCACCAGGCCTGATGTAAGCATTAGGCACCAAATTTTTGATAGGAGCTGTATT